TTCCGTACTAAATCAACCCAGGACTTGACAGCCTCGGGATTCAGGCTTCGCGCGCGCTGGGTGTCCAAGGCCTTGCTCCAAAAGGTCCGGAGCGCGTCGTGGTGGCGATCAAGAAACGCGAAGACCCATTTGTCTGCTACCGGCTCGCAGCCCGTTCCGAGCGTGGCTTCGCGGACGGCATTCGCAGCCTGTCGAATTTGGGCATGATTCAATGGGAACCCGCGATCTGCGGATTCGAGAATGAATTCGACAAGGGTCCATTCTTGGACAGGCGACAGCTTCTGTTTCTGTTCATTGGACTTTCGAACCCCGATTCCTCCATGTATGCGTCGATGTAGAGTACCATATGTAATTTTGTGAGCTTCTGCGATGGCACGAATAGATTTCGGCTTCCCTAAATGCGCTGGTTTGGCGTGCTCCCGCTCATATTCGTGCAGAGCTGCCCTGATATTAAGCTCTTTTCGGCGACCGTTGGCGTGCGCCTTCACGCGGTTAGACTTCGCGCGCGAAACCATGGGAAGGTTTGGGATGCCGGACAGTAGAAGCGCGGCAGAGAGACGGGGAAGAGATGGATGCCAGACGCGTCAACAAACCAGATGTCACGCTCTTCACGTGTGTTTGTTTGAGGAAATTCTAACAGTCTCAGTTTTTGTCAGATTGTTTTGTTCTTTCGCGCAAAGTCATAGCCAAGAAGGTGATCTATCGCATAGAAAATAATTTGAGGCCAAGGTGTAGCCCATTGAGGTATAATCGACCAAAAGGAAAGTTGATTGATGCTCAATCACATAATGATTTAGACCGAAATGCGTCTCATTTCACGCTCAATGTCTCTCTGGACGCAAATTTTTTTCTGCAGATGCAAATGAACTACATAATGCTATAGGAAACGGGAATTGGGCCCAGAGGGTGTCTGTCGTGCGCCATAAAATAATGATCCATTGATGTGGCTTGATCCATCGAGCCACACTATACTGTAGCAACGACCAAAGAAAAGTATGTCCGCTTCCCTTTCATCAAGGGAGGGTATCATAATTCTTTAAGTTGCATATCAAGTTGTATTATCTGCGTTTGTTAACTTGCTAATTGAAGTTTTTTGATTTGTGAATAAAGTGCAACCTGCCTGAGTCGAACCGGCGACAGGCCATAATGCAAAAGTGCAGCATAACCATTCAGCAACACAACCATTTCAAAACTTGGTGAGCTGTTCAGTATAAGGGGTTACCTCCCTCCCAACAACAACTGTCTGCTTCCTGACTCCAGTAATATCATCATACATAGTCTTCAGCTGCAAAACACAAAATAAATTCATAGAGCTATTCTAAACACCATCCTGACAGATGAGCTAGACTGTGTATATTTTTGTGAAGAATTTTGGTTCTGTAAATAGTTCAATGAAATACTGTGGCTTGTTGAAAACTAATTGCAGATCTGAACTGCCTTGAGGCTCAGGTGCCTACGGGGGAAAAAAAAAAAATGGGAAACTATGCAGCTTGGCCACAAAACTATGTACAACTATGTAGCTTTGACTGAAAACTGCAGACCACTACAGAGTCCGGCCCATGCACTATGGCCGTTGATACCTACTGCAGTAGGACTGCACCCGTACTGATTGAATGATGCGAACTGTTCCGCGTGATCCGTGCACAGCCTACAGACACCTCTCTTCTTGCCTCTCTCTGTAAGTAAGTACATCTGTCGTGCCTCCATGGATTCCGCTGCACCAAAACCGAAGGGAACTATGTATTGATTTTTTGTGCCCTTTTACTGCTATTTTTAAGCCCGGAACGGGCGAGTTGGGCAGGGTGGCGGGTTTTAATGGGCGTGATGGGACGGCGCGCGAGGCGCGCTTCGCGACGTAAATCCTCGTATTCATGTATGTACCTTATACCCTGCTTTTTGGCGATTTTACGGCTATATATGGGCCCGGAACGGGCGAGTTGGGCGGGGGCGGAGCGGATTTTGATGGGCGTGATGGAACGGCGCGCGAGTCGCGCTTCGCGACGTAAATTTATCCTGTATTCATGCCTTGTATGTACCTTATATATACCCTGCGGTTTTGGCGATTTTACGGCTATATATATATGGTCCCGGAACGGCGGCGGGGTTTTTGATGGGTGTGATGGGGCGGCGCGTGAGCCGCGCTTCGCGACGTAAATTTATCCTCGTATTCATGCCTTGTATGTACCTTATACCCTGCTTATTTGGCAATTTTACGGCTATATATGGGCCCGGAACGGGCGAGTTGGCCGGGGACGGCGGGGTTTTTGATGGGCGTGATGGGGCGACGAGCGAGGCACGCTTCGCGACGTTGCCGCCTGTCTTTGATGGCGACGTCAATGAGAGTGTGGAGGGCTGGCGCGATGGTGACGGACAACGGAAGTGGACAGCAAGTGGTGATTGCCAGCGGAGTTTCAAAATCTTGAAAACGGATTGGCTGGTCCTATAGCGCTTTGGGAATTAGCTCCGAAAGTAATAGGTCTTGATAGCGGTGATGATCAGCGGAACAGCCAGGCATTGTAGTAAGCCAATCAAGACGAAAAATTCATTTCTCGCGTTGAAAAGCAGTCGGAAACTGCGGTTTTGGTGCAGATAAATCTATTGTAAGTCTCTGAGTCTCCCTCTCTTTTCTCTCTTTTCTCTCTCTTTTCCCTCTCTCTCTCAACTTGAAAAAACACATTTTGATCCCCCATCCACAGCAATAAGCCATAAGCCCAGAGTCCTATGGCAACTATGGGAACTACAGCAAACTATGGCCAACTATGGTCAACTATGGTCAAATCCAGGGTTTGCTGATGCATATATCACACCTTGTATGAGTGGTGGTGGGTGCGGTTGTTGGGGATTTACCCTGTGCGTGGGGTAGGGGGTGCGAGCTCAACGCGGAGTTATCCGGAGTTGGCCTCGGATCATGGGATTCACGTGGTGCTACATAGTGTGACTGTCATGTAACGTAGCGTTGCGCGTTTGTCTCAACGGGTTCCCTGATATCGTCGTAGCCTGTGCGCCCCAGGCTGTGGGAGTTTACTCAACAGCGGTGCCATCGACGCTAGGTAGGTGGTAGGAGTTGGCCCAGTTCGAGAATAAACCCGGTTGTTAGGAATGAATAGCAGTAGTACACTGGCTACGATTTTATTCTGAACACCAACATCCATTTAACATTCTCGGCTGCGGGACGGCGCATTTGGATCTAACCTCTCATCTCTTCGTCCTCCCGTTGATTATATTTAGCAACTTAGCAGCTAGATCTACCAATGGATATTTGAAACCTCACCATCTTCTAAGTTTGAGTCTAAATATATGTTTATCTATTCGGGAAGAATCACACCCTCTACCCCCGCGACGTCACCCCCTCCTGGATCCGAAAAAATGTTAAGTCAACCATATCAATTAATCAAGCACCGTTACTGAACGAAGTCGTGTTCACTCTGTTCCGTCGGCCCTTCCGTCGGCGGCAGTGAGCCATAATAAATTTTTGCTATGTCGCCTGGCAGTGTGTACGGCAGGGGACAAAAAGTGGCGGTGAGTATCGATAATTCAAGGAGAAGGTGGATCCGTGGAGGTTGACAACGACTAGGGTTGATTCAGGATCACCTAAGCATTCGAAGGGCTAGGAACGGTATGAGCTGTGTTAAAAATACGAGGCCTCCGACTCGACAATCGCGAGTCAGCGACCGCCTACCAGCTAAGTACTAACTATGTACGGTAGAAATAGTTCCCCAGAACGGCGCTACAGTAAGCGGAATCGAACACCCAGAACTCGTCTCCATTCAGGGACCTCTAGACTCTCCCCACATAATGTATCGCGTGCTAAAAAGTCGAGTCAACCCGACGTGTGAATCCTCGTCCGCATATGGGTACCCCTCGCTCCGTTAGAGGACGCGGGTGAATTAAGTAATAGCGCACAGGTGTTGTAATAGTATTAGATATACGTCCGCCGGGCGACGGATGGCGAACGAAAAGCAACCACATATGTACAGCAAATTGTAGGCAGTCGTGAAACATTACTGCACGCCCATAGATCAGTTTGTGCTCCCAAACGGGGTGAAGGAAATCGATACTGACGGGTGGGGTTCTGGATACGAAGATTGATTTTGTTAGGGATAGCTATACACGAACCAACTTCAGTCGCTGCGTCCTCCGTATGTTTTCAAGTCACGGATCTGACGCGATTTCCGTCGGTTTATTATCACGCCGAACTGCCCTCTGTGGGAACTATCCACGTCTTTGGACCAGATGAATCCCGATAGCTTGGTACGAGCAAGTCCCGAGTCCTGCAGAGAACCACTGAGGGCTCAATGGATAGACGAAGAAATGAAGGATTACCACAATAGGTCGAGACCAGGCTTGAACTTTCCGAGGCGACGCAGCTAGTTTCGGGAGCGACTCGACCAAATTTTCAGCAGATGGAGTTGACGTTGGTGTCAGGTGAGCCGCAACTTTATCAAGAAGCAGAGTTATCGCTGTCCAAAGTGAAGGTGTCGACAATTTCACGCAATTTCCGGGATATATGGACAAGAAATAGAGGGGAGTTAATATCGAAGGCGATCTATTGAAGGGGGACAAATGTTGAAGGAAGATTTCCGAAACGATTTCGTTGGGGAGGGTCAGAACGGGATACTTAGATGCAAGCATTCAAGTTTGCGCCGAGCTAGAGAAGCCTCGAGTGTAGAAGTGTAGAGATCTCTACATCGAGTTCAGAGACTCGTGAGCCCAAGACGAGCCCGAGAAGTTGCTGTTGGCGACAAGTCATCTACCGGCATATTCAGCGGCGGTGGAGCCACGAAGCTTTCATCATGAGGAACGGTATATCAACAAGTCTAAGATTGCTCACAACCTTGCAAAACTTGAAAAAAAGAAATCTGGAAGGGAACATCACGTGCCATCATGTCGCGTTGGGATCGACCAATCATACATAAACAACGCGACACTGACTCATCGCGCCCACTGTCACCGCCAATGTCAAAGTGAGTCAGATTGGGTGAATTCCATAGAAAAAAGGGCAACCCCGGCGGGACTCGAACCCGCAATCTCGAGCTATTATTCACTCTCGTCCTAATAGAATGCTTATGTCGTACCATTAGACCACGAGGCTGCCGCCATCTGTGGAACGCGGAGAGCTAAGGTCTTACTGAATGTGTACTACACCTCTAACGCTGAGTAGATACTGTCGACAAATCCCGCCGACGAAGCCACTCACATTAAGGTAGGGCCCGGGGTGACTCTGTACTGTACACAATATCCATACGCTAAAGCCCCTCACCTATACCGCCTCAATTAACTTAGAGGGCATGTCAAACGTGCACACCGGGAAATCAGCCCCGAGTACCTCCAACTATCCCTTGGATAAATCACCAAGTTCTCAGGTGTAGACAACTGTCGTGCCCGTACGCAATATTAATTCAGAAACTCAGCACCGTTCGAGTACCGCCCTCCTACTCTGATTTATTGCACCTCTCTTGACCCGCGACGTTTCAATCTGCGCTGAGCAGAACTCACAAATGCACGTCACATTACGGCTGAGGAAGCAAGTTGGCTTAGGCTGAAGTCGAGCCAAGTAGGACATAAGTTTGACTGATCCCTTCAGGCAATTTTTGGGTGTACATCGTATGCATACATGCCGGCACCGCAACCATACCGTACCTACCAGCTGAACCGAGGTCGGGTCGGGAACTTACTACTAGTAGTGATATAGTAGTATTTTTAATTTTATCATCCTGGCCCACAAAAACGAACTCGCTTGCTCCACAGCGCCACACGACAGCGCCACTGAAAACTACCCTTCTTAATTTAATCAACATGACGCAGCAAGGAACAGACAGCCCTATCGTGGAGCCCTCGAGAACACCTCGCGCGTCGAGCAGCATACGCTAACTCGATTTGGCGGTAAGATAGATAGAGACCTCATGATCGTCCAGCGTCGACGTCGCGCGCCACACATCGATTCATGTGGGGCGGTGGCTGGAGTGGAGTGTACGGATGACAGTGCCATGCAGCAGAAAAGTCAACCACTGCGTCACAGGCAGCGTTCGCCAACTCAAGCTCAAGCTCAAGTGTCGACAATGCAAGAATCAAAAAATCATATTTTAGAGCAAAAACGTACGCTAGCAATACCTATCCAACGCGTAGCCGTAGCAGTCGTAGCAGTTAGTAGTATAGTACACCATTCACCCCGTCCCCCTCACTTCCAACACGCACCACCAACCGCAGCGCACCACCACGCGCAACTTAATGCCACGTCCCAACCGGCGGCCCAAAGATCTCGCCGGGCGCGAGACTGATGAGCGGGGTCTTGCGCCCGTCGGCGGTGTTGAGCCACACGGAGTTGCCCCACCACGACTGGATGGTGTTGAGCCCGATCGTGCCGTTCTTCGGGTATTGCAGGATGAAGAAGATGAGCACGGCGGAGACGGCCACGCCCGAGTCGAGCGCCGCGGAGAGGACGTCTACGTCGTTGTGTTGTGATCAGTCAAATTATCTTATCTAGTGAAGGAGAATGAAAGAAAGGGACGAGAACTACGCACAATTGTACTTTGTCCACCACGCAAAATGACGGCGCCGGATGACATACTGGAAGATGAACCCGACGATCGCCCACGGGACGTAGTTGTTCGAGTTGGCGGGGGGAATGAGCCCGGTGCCGGAGAAGATGACGGGGAAGTTGAGGTACCGCAGCCAGCTGTTCGGCCACTTGAGCGTGCAGAGCCACGCGATGAGCGGGCACAGGAAGCCGATGAGGAAGAAGAACGTCAGCGCGTAGTAGATCTGGCCGGAGGAGACTGGCGGGCGCGTTAGTTCGTGTCGTCGCGGGTTTATTAAATAAAGAAAGAGAGGGAGGGGAGGAGGGAACGCACATTGCCGCCGGGGCCCGATGACGCCCCACACGATCGAGGCGGTGCCGAAGACGACGGTGCTGGGGCACCAGAAGCCGTCCTTCTGCGAGCGGTCGCACATGTCCTCGATGTTGGTGAACATCCACGCCTGCACGCCGAGCTGCACCGTCCCGGCGACGATCGTCGCGATGACCTGGCTCGTGAACATCACCCGCGGGGGGATCTACATACGCGGTGGCCGTTCAGCGTCGAGGTACAGAAGGCGGGGGAAGGGACACACCTTCATGTAATGCCCGAGCTTAAAGTCCGACGTGAACTGGAGGGCCTGCGCCATGGTGATGTAGCCCCAGGTCTTGAACATCCTACAGAAACATTAAGCAAGGCACGACGCGGGAACGACAACAAACAACCAACGACGCACATCATAGCGATGGGACGGCCCGGGAGCGCGTACCCAATGATGAGCTCCGTGATCACGTTCAGCCCGACCTGCTGGTTCGTAATCGCCTGGATCATGCCGATGGGGATCACGTAGACGAACGCTGGCGGCGGCGCGTCGCGTCAATAAGAGTTGCAAGGAAGGAAGGAAGGAAGGGCGGCAACGCACAAATCACCAACGCCAAAATAAAGTACTGCACGGGGAACTTGGTATCCCACACCTCGATGCTCACCACCCCAAACACAAACATCGCGACAAAGATGATCGCGTACCACCACTCGGGCACCTGCGGGTACACCGCCATCAAGCGCGCGTGGATGTCGGGCTGCTCGTGCATCGCGCGGCGGGACTGCGTCCAGATCTGCTTGCGGAAGAAGAGGAAGGCGTGCGTGATCGTGGCGGTGATGGAGGCGAAGGAGAGGCCGTAGGAGATGGAGAAGGTCGTGGAGAGGAAGATGGGGGAGTAGGCTTCGTATTTGGCTTGGTCGAATTCCTGTGGGCGGGGTGAGCATGCGGGCGAACGAAGTGAGCACGCGGGTGAGAGGAGCGCGCGGCGTCAGGAGCACGCGACCCCAGCGAGTCCGCAGAGAACAGAAACCAACATACATCATTCGTAAGAATCATCGACACATTATAACTCGCCCCCGTATTGTCAAACGACCCGCCCGACGAGATCGGCATGTACTTGGCGTAGAACGTGTTCGTGAACTGCGTTGGTTGATCGAATTTATGTTAGTTTTTCATGTCCAGGAAACACTGTGGTAGAACAACGCGCAAAGACGGGCGCCAAAAAAGTACGGCATCCCGCCCATCGCGACAGCGATCGACGAACAAAGAAGAGATATATCGCCGCGAACAAAAGAAGCTCGCACGCGCAGATCAGCGCGGGAACGCCTGCGTGTAAAAAAAGAAAAGGCGCTGGGAACGGCCACGGGGATGTGAATGGAGAAGGGGAACCCCGGATGGGAAGGCGGAAGCTCGTTGGGGGTGGCGCGCCTTTGCGACAGTATACGGGATGGGAGGGAGGAGGGAAGAGGGGTGTGGGTGGGGCGGGAATGTAAGAATAGAGAAGTGCGGGGACGCGACGTCGGACGTCTTTCCAGCGAGGGAAGAGCCGCGGGGAAAAGAAAGAGGTGGAGGGAATTCTTTTATTCCCTTCACGTAGCCCACGACGAAAAAAAACAGTCCACGACGAAAAAAATTGGAGGAGAAACGGAATAGAACGGAAGATAGAAAAGAAGAGGAAGATAGAAGGAAAGGCACGCACATACAACGCGGGCGTGAGGATCCAGAAGAAGAAGACGAACCCGGCGGCGATGTTGGCCTCGGCCCACCAGGGCGTCGCGAGGGGGGAGCCGATGTACCTGTTGCCAACCAACGCGTGTTAGTATATGTATATGTGGCGTGTCGTGTTATTAGATAGGGGGAAGAGATGGGATAAGAGATGCGGGGGTAAGAGGTGCGAGAGGTGGGAGGAAGGGGAAATCAGACGATGAACGTCGAATGGGAGATGGGAGATGGGAGGGCGGGCGGGGGGATAAAATGCGAGGAGGGATGTGTGCCTCCATCGTGGTTGGAAGTGGGGTGTTGAGAAAGCGCGTGTGAGATGGGATCGATGGAAGAAGGATAGAGAAGGGGCAAGAGGCGGAGAAGCGCGGCGACAAGACCGCGGAGGGGAAAGCACACGACAGCGCGCGTCAACGTTGAGCCACATCGTGCAAGTCGACGGGCGCCGCCGTCGTCAAACGCGCACCACGCGCACGCGCACGCGTTCTCGCCGTGCGTTCGTCCCGCCACAGCACCACGCAGCGCCCGACTCCGTCCCCTCCACGGCCGAACTCAACGCCAAATCGAAGCAACACCACCAAAACAATTCGAACAAAAACACATGTTGAAAGAAAAACGGAAGGGGGGCGGACGGACGGAAGCAAATAACCCGCGTCAAAAAACAAAAACCAGAAGAACAAAACGCACGTAATCTGACTCCAATCAAACGTCACCATGCCCATCGCGAGCCCGTAGTTGACGCCGAAGAGCTGGTTGACGACGACGTTGTCGGGGACGATCCAGCAGACCCAGGAGAAGAAGGAGAGGCCGGTGAATAGGTAGCCTGGGGGGGATAAGGGGGTTAGCGAGCGTCAGTGGGGGGGGCCAAGGGGGTGGTAGAGGAAGAGGGAAAGAGGGAGGGAGGGGGAAGGGAGGGAGGGAGGGAGGGAGGGGAGGGAGGTGGGAGAGGAAGGAAGGGAGAAAGAGGGAAAGAGGCAGCGGGCGACAAAGGCGTCGGAACCGCAGCACGGCACGCGGCGGGTTGGTTGCAATAACACGAACGGGAACGCGGGAATGGAGCAGAACGGAGCGGAGCGGCAAGGGAATGCGAATGCGAATGCGAATGGGAGGGGGATGGATGACGAGTAGGAGCGACGGGGCGCCGCCCGCGCGCCAACCAAGCGCGCCGCAGACGCAGACGTCGCAACGGGCGCGGCGGCGGCGGCGGTTGGGCCAACACGAACGCGCAAGCGCGGGAGGAGGCGGCGCGCGTATACACCTCCGCGCAAGAAAATATCACGAGAACAGCAAGGAGGGAACGTGATGACAACCACGCAGCCAAGGAACAGAAGACACAAGGGCGGAACGACCACACGCCGAATTGAAGGAAGGAAGAGAAGGAATTGAAGTGCAGAGAGAAGGAAGGAATTGAAGGAATGAAGGAAGTAATTGAACGGCGAAGGAGGAAACGAGCACGCACCCGGCACCAAATACCAGCACACGCCCGCGCCCCACGCGATGTAGAAGAACTTTTCGCGGGAGAAGCCGCCGCGGGAG